AAGGCAGGACTTGAACGAAAGAGAGGTCTCAAATGAAAAAAGAGCAGAGAGAAACGAAAGAATTACTTCGAACGAAAGTCAGCAGGAGTCCAACGAAAGAGAGAGGTTGCAAACGAATATGAGGAGTCGAACGAAACAAGACAGGGCTTGAACAAAGAGAGAGAGAGAGAGAGAGGATTTCAAACGAATGAGAGGATTCGAACGAACAAGAAAGGACTGGAACGAAAGAGAGGCCTGAAAAGAACAAAAAGAGCATAGAGAAACGAAAGAAAGACTTCCAACGAAAGTCAGCAGGAGTCCCACGAAAGAGAGAGGCTTTCAAACGAATGAGAGAAGTCGAACGAACAAGATAGGACTTGAACGAAAGAGAGGCCTGAAACGAAAAAAGAGCAGAGAGAAACGAAAGAAGGACTTCGAACGAAAGCCAGCAGGAGTCCAACGAAAGAGAGAAGATTTCAAACGAATGAGAGGAGTCGAACGAACAAGATAGGACTTGAACGAAAGAGAGGCCTGAAACGACAAAAGAGCAGAAAGAAACGAAAGAAGGACTTCAAACGAAAGCCAGCAGGAGTCCAACGAAAGAGAGCGGATGCAAAGGAATGAGAGGAGTCGAACGAACAAGACAGGACTTGAACGAAAGAGAGGTCTCAAACGAAAAAAGAGCAGCGAGAACCGAAAGAAGACTTCGAACGAAAGTCAGCCGGAGTCCAACGACAGGGAGAGGTTTCGAACGAATGAGAGGAGCCGAACGAACAAGACAGGACTTGAACGCAAGAGAGCTCTCAAACGAAAAAAGAGCAGAGAGAAACGAAAGAAGACTTCGAACGAAAGCCACTTGAACGAAAGAGACGTCTCAAACGCAAAGAAAGCAAAGAGAAACGAAAGAAGACTTCGAACGAATGTCAGCAGGAGTCCAACGAGAGAGAGAGGATTTCAAACAAATGAGAGGAGTCGAACGAACAAGGCAGGACTTGAACGAAAGAGAGGTCTCAAACGAAAAAAGAGCAGAGAGAAACGAAAGAATTACTTCGAACGAAAGCCAGCAGGAGTCCAACGAAAGGGAGAGGTTGCAAACGAATGAGAGGAGTCGAACGAACAAGACAGGACTGGAACGAAAGAGAGGCCTGAAAAGAAAAAAAAAGAGCATAGAGAAACGAAAGAAAGACTTCCAACGAAAGTCAGCAGGAGTCCAACGAAAGAGAGAGGATTTCAAACGAATGAGAGGAGTCGAACGAACAAGGCAGGACTTGAACGAAAGAGAGGTCTCAAACGAAAAAAGAGCAGAGAGAAACGAAAGAATTACTTCGAACGAAAGTCAGCAGGAGTCCAACGAAAGAGAGAGGTTGCAAACGAATGTGAGGAGTCGAACGAAACAAGACAGGGCTTGAACGAAAGAGAGAGAAAGAGGATTTCAAACGAATGAGAGGAGTCGAACGAACAAGATAGGACTTGAACGAAAGAGAGGCCTGAAACGAAAAAAGAGCAGAGAGAAACGAAAGAAGGACTTCGAACGAAAGGCAGCAGGAGTCCAACGAAAGAGAGAAGATTTCAAACAAATGAGAGGAGTCGAACGAACAAGATAGGACTTGAACGAAAGAGAGGCCTGAAACGACAAAAGGGCAGAGAGAAACGAAAGAAGGACTTCAAACGAAAGCCAGCAGGAGTCCAACGAAAGAGAGCGGTTGCAAACGAATGAGAGGAGTCGAACGAACAAGACAGGACTTGAACGAAAGAGAGGTCTCAAACGAAAAAAGAGCAGAGAGAACCGAAAGAAGACTTCGAACGAAAGTCAACCGGAGTCCAACGAAAGGGAGAGGTTTCGAACGAATGAGAGGAGCCGAACGAACAAGACAGGACTTGAACGAAAGATAGCTCCAAACGAAAACAGAGCAGAGAGAAACGAAAGAAGACTTCGAACGAAAGCCACTTGAACGAAAGAGACGTCTCAACTCAAACGAAAAGAAAGCAAAGAGAAACGAAAGAAGACTTCGAACGAAAGTCAGCAGGAGTCCAACGAGAGGAGGAGTCGAACGAACAAGACAGGACTGGAACGAAAGAGAGGCCTGAAAAGAACAAAAAGAGCATAGAGAAACGAAAGAAGACTTCGAACGAAAGTCAGCAGGAGTCCAACGAGAGAGAGGATTTAAAACGAATGAGAGGAGTCGAACGAACAAGGCAGGACTTGAACGAAAGAGAGGTCTCCTCAAACGAAAGAAGAGCATAGAGAAGCGAAAGAAGGACTTCCAACGAAAGTCAGCAGGAGTCCAACGAAAGTTAGGGAGAGGTTGCAAACGAATGAGAGGAGCCGAAAGAACAAGACAGGACTTGAAGGAAAGAGAGGCCTGAAACGAAAAAAAAAGCAGAGAGAAACCA